TGTAAAAGTGTGTTACAATGGACCACTTTTTGTTTCCATGTTCACTGAAATAATAAAACTATTTATTTACACATACACAAACGCATGTGCTTATGGTAATTTTGATTGGAATGTCGTTGTTTATAAGTTTAGAATTTCATATTTGGGTTTGTTTCTTAAAAAGTACAGTTCAACAACTTATAAATTTATACGAAGAAAAACATGCTACATAATGTAATTCTACAAAAGATTAGCTCTTCTTTTTGTTAAAAGTATAATGGGTTATTGAATTAGCTAATTTGTTCTTACTAAATACTAAATAAACCCTATTTACAAAAATCTTTTTATTATCTAAACTTAAATGTAGCATTTAATACAAGACTGAATTACCGTTTTTATAATCTTATAGTTTATGTAAGATTTTTTACTTTCATAAACTGAGATTTTTAAAATTCACAATTTTTTAAAGATTTTCCTCTAAATACATATCAAAACTACAAAAGACAAAAACTATATATTAGTCCCCACAAAAGAAAAAGACAAATAAATTTGATTTTAAAAATACATAAGAGTAAAACAAGAAAACGTATATTGCTTAGAAAAGAATTTAACTCAAAACATATGTGTAAAAAAAAAAGACGTGGCAAAAAGCAACTAAATTTCAACCAATACACATCTACCTTCATCAGATCAAAACCCAATTTATAAAACACACACCGCAGATTCTGCCATGTGGCTTCTCTCTCCTCTACAGCTCACTTCCCTTCTCTCTCTCTAAAAAAACCAGACCTTCAATGTCATTTGCTGTGATTCTCATAAACTCCAGTGTCCGAATCCTTCTTCTGTCTTTTTGAATTTCTTTTCCAAATATAATTTTTAAAAAAATAATTTTGCTGTAACCGGAGAAGAAGAAGAAGAGTATGGGAGGTTGTACCTCCAAGCCTTCCACCTCCGTGAAACCTAATCCTTACGCACCAAAAGACACCCTTCCCCAAAATGACGATTCTACCCCTGCTCGTACCTCAACCGCCGTAAAGGCTTCTCCTTTCTTCCCCTTCTTCACTCCAAGCCCCGCCGCCAGGCACCGCCGTAACAAGAGCCGCGACGGCGGAGGAGAGAGCAAGAGCGTCACCAGCACTCCGCTACGTCAGCTCGCGCGTGCTTTCCACCCTCCTTCTCCGGCGAAACACATAAGAGATGTTCTGCGGCGGAGGAAGGGGAAGAAGGAGGTTGCTACTACTCTACCGGCGGCGAGTAAGTCCGAGGAGGAGGAGGAGGAGGAGAGAGAGGAGGTAGGGCTTGACAAGAGATTCGGATTCTCTAAAGATTTCAAGAGTAGGATGGAGTTAGGGGAAGAGATTGGGAGAGGGCATTTTGGGTATACTTGCTCTGCTAAGTTTAAGAAAGGAGAGTTTAAAGATCATGAGGTTGCTGTTAAAGTCATCCCTAAATCTAAGGTTCGTCAATGTTACTACTATTACTAGTCTTTATGTTTATGCTTCAGTTTGGCTTTTAAGTTTTGCTTCAATGTATTGTAGTGTTAGCTGGAATTTGAGAAAATTGCAGATATTTTGTTAGATGTTACACTCTTTAAAGCTAATAATAGGGCATAGCTTGTGACTGCAACTAGAAGAGACTTAGAAGAAGAAATAAAAAACCATTTCATAGGCTCTCTTGATGGCTCTTTTCTTCTTTATCACCTTACTGTCCTTTTGTTTGAGCCATATCGTTGGAAAAATTGGCGTGTGGACTTTTATGCTTAGAAATTAATTAAAAAACGGTACAAGTATGTATGAAAACAGACGAGGTTAACGTGTTAATATTTCATCTATGTTTGTCAAAGGCCAATATTTTCAATGGTAACAGATGTAAGTTTTGCTGACTTTTTTTTGCTGGGTGAATAGTTCTTTAAATTGGTCAATAAACTAGAAGCATAGACGTTTTGTGCTGCTTGTGTCATTAAGGAAATGAAATAGCTATGGTCCTTATGCAATTATGTAGCATGCAGTCAAGTTATTTGAATGTTAGGTTGATTCATAATAGACTGTTGCTCATTAGTATTTTGGTTTGGCAGATGACAACTGCAATATCTATAGAGGATGTGAGGAGAGAAGTAAAAATCCTACGGGCGTTGTCTGGACATAACAATCTGGTTCAATTCTATGATGCTTTTGAGGACAATGCCAACGTCTACATCGTTATGGAGTAAGAGAACCTTTGCTATTACACTGCATACAGTGTTTGAATCAACTAGATAATATTTATATTTTTAAGGAAAATAATCAACTAAGAGAATCATATCAAATTCTTGTTTTTTTTTAACTTCAAAGCTGTGATTAAATTTACTTTTTTTTTTTTCTAAATGTCAGGTTATGTGGAGGTGGTGAACTACTTGACAGAATACTAGCAAGGTCTGCTATCAAACAAAGATTTGTTTAAACTTAGAGATACTCTCTTGCCTGACTAAGTATTTTTATATTCTATTTTAGGGGAGGAAAATACACTGAAGATGATGCAAAAGCAGTGCTTACACAAATCCTTAACGTTGTAGCTTTCTGTCATCTCCAAGGAGTAGTTCATCGAGATCTAAAACCAGAGGTAACCCCTCAATTCTATTAGCTTTAAACTTCTCCTAATCTAATACCAATCTTAAATTCATGTACCAGAACTTCTTGTACACTTCCAAGCAGGACAACTCTCAGTTAAAAGTCATAGATTTTGGTTTATCAGACTTTGTCAGACCAGACGAAAGACTAAACGACATAGTTGGTAGTGCATATTACGTAGCCCCTGAAGTTCTACACAGATCTTATACAACGGAAGCAGATGTCTGGAGCATAGGAGTAATAGCATACATTCTCCTATGTGGTAGCCGTCCCTTTTGGGCAAGAACTGAATCAGGAATCTTCAGAGCAGTTCTTAAAGCTGATCCGAGCTTTGATGAACCTCCTTGGCCTTCATTGTCCTTGGAAGCTAAAGATTTTGTTAAGCGGCTATTGTACAAAGACCCTCGGAAAAGAATGACAGCCTCTCAAGCTTTGAGTCAGTAACTCTAAAAATCTCCACAATCTTTCTTTTCTTTATTGTGATGAATACCACTTATACTTTTTTCTTACAGTGCATCCTTGGATCTCTGGTAGTAAGAACATGAGTATCCCATTTGATATTCTGATCTTCAGGCAGATCAAAGCATACTTGAAATCTTCTTCTTTGCGCAAAGCTGCTTTGATGGTACATTTTTCTTGCAATCTTTTTAGTTTTAATGTCCAGAGAACATTTAAGGATGTAATTGTTCCCTAAATAGTGTTGATCTTTACTCTGATACTCTCTCCAGGCTCTGTCCAAGACATTAATTACAGATGAGCTTCTTTATCTGAAAGCACAGTTTGCAATCTTATCACCCAACAGAAATGGCCTCATCACTTTGGATAACATCAGAACGGTATGTTCCTTACTTCCATCTCTCTATCTATACTAGAGAACAAAAAGCTCAAAGCTAGCTTGTTGGACAGGCACTTGCTACAAATGCAACAGAAGCAATGAAAGAATCACGCATCCCAGACTTTCTTGCATTGGTATTGTCCTGTCTTTTGCTTGAAGATAGTTTTATACACGTATGGTTGTTAACAAAAGATTGGTGTTGGGGAACTATGACAGTTAAATGGACTTCAGTACAAAGGAATGGATTTTGAAGAGTTTTGTGCAGCTTCCATTAGTGTTCATCAGCATGAGTCTCTTGATTGTTGGGAGCAGAGCGTTCGCCATGCTTATGAGCTTTTTGATATGAGTGGAAACCGAGTTATTGTCATTGAAGAACTTGCTTCTGTAAGTTTTTGTCGTCTTTTACTTGGAGCTGCTGTTTTCACATTGTTTTTACTAATTAAAAAGGGAACACATGTTGTTTAGGAACTTGGCGTTGGATCATCAATCCCGGTCCATACTATTCTACATGACTGGATAAGGCACAGTGATGGGAAGCTGAGCTTCTTAGGTTTTGTCAAGTTGTTGCACGGTGTATCTACTCGACAACCTTTAGCGAGGACACGGTGAAGAGCAGGTAACTTGGTGTTATAACAGAGGACGAACACATACCACAGCTAATGGATGTCAAGAACATTTTATAGTGTCAAAAAGGAAATCAAAAGTTTCGGTAAAGTAAAAGAGTATCAAAGTATCAGACAGGTCTGAAGAAGTTGTAATAAGATGATGTTAAAACTAACACTTTTTTCTCTAAATGTTTTATCTAAAGACCTGAAACACCTGCTTCTTACATGAAAACAATCTCATCACATTACCAAGAACCAGTCAGGAACAGAAACAACCACATGTCTACTTCGTACAGGGCCTCTGATGATCTGCTAACCCTTGCTTCAAGCTCTAGCAAGCGATCCAGCATACAACAAGCCACAATTATGTAACACACAACAAGCCACAATAGCCTGAGGAGCTTGGTGTACCCAACATTCACATTCTGAAGAATCTTCCCTTGAGCCTTAATTAACCCAAAGGCTCCCACAACCACTGACACCCCTTTCATCAGCATTCCATCAAACATATTCTCGGGCGGCGAGCCAGTACCATTTGAGGAAAAGGGTGTCATCAGAAAAGATAGAAGAGGTTAACACCAGTCTCCAACAATGTATGGTCTCACATAAGTCTAGATGTTTTGGAGATGAAGCAGGTGCAAGAGCATTGCCATGACAGCTTCTTCAATCTGTGACTCTATTAGGAGAAGAAACTTGCAACAAGTACTGCAAGAAGAGAGAGAGAGAGACAGAAGCTTATGGTGGTGTTGTAAAGAAGGTGAAGGATTTTAAAGCAGACATAATCCAACTAGCACAACCATTAATATTTGTCTAAGACAAACCGGTAGTAACCAAAATCTTTGAATCTCCAAACAAAATAGTCTAACGAAACCAAATCCATCTAACAAAATTCTCCTTTTGGACTACAAGTTTTAGCATTGATTGACTAAGTGAATCATGATCACTAGAGTCTCTACTCTTCAAGTCTCGGCAGGATTAGGCGTTGGAGTCCTGGTGGTTAACATATCCTCCATTGTTATAACCTTGTCCTCGTGAGTATCCTCCATTCCATTGCTGCCCTGAGTCTCCTCTCCACTGCCACAAAAGTAGACAACAACACATTAAGATTATAAAAGAGAGAGATCTATTGCATTTATCAAACATGTGTGAGTGCGACATGAAACATGTGTAACCCAGTTAAGGGGAGTGACAAGTTGGGCTTTGAGATCATATGTTAGATATTCCCACTTGTATAGTCAACTACTAACTTTAGCTTATATACATCTATACGTTTTTAATAACACAACAAGGCTTTAGAAAAAAAACCCTATTACCAAAGTTTAACCTAATCAAAATACTAAATATAGAATGCACCACCAACTCCAAAGTAAAACTTTTACCTGCCTATTAGGGGTTCTACCCCAAGAGAGTCTGACAGTGTTCTTGCCAATGACTGTCCCGTTCAAACTCTGGATAGCATCATCAGCACTCTTCCTGTCAACAAACCAAAGGGCCCCAAGTAGCTTTGAGATCATACATACATAATAAGCACCTACAGGTTATTAGCCCAGAGTCTTATGACTAACAAAGCCCACACTTCTAGGTAAAAAAAATCCCACACCTGTTAGCAAATTGGACAAATCCACATCCTTTGCCTACTGGTATCTTCACTGAAACAACCTCACCAAACTCTATAAAAGGTTGTCTGAGGTCTTCATCAGTAACGTCAGGGTCAAGGCCCCCAACAAATATCTACAGTTAGAAATAAGAGAAAATTAGCAATACACAACTTAAATAATGAAAGCAGAGGCAATACACACCGTTGAGTTGTTTGATTCGCCATCAGCCTGTGTACCATTAGCCATAGAACCATTTGCTCCATGTCCACCAGCCACTATCACAGCTACTCCAACCCAAAAAACATAAAACTTCATAGTTCAAAACCACTGTCAAATCAAAAATCCACCAAGACTTATAGGTCAAGAAGATACACGTTACCTTGTGAAGAATATTGTTGCTGATTAGCAACAGCTCTTTTAGGAGTAGCAACACCAACTCTCATCTGCCTGTTGGAACATAAAGCTCCATTCATCTCAGTCAAAGCCCTTGACCTCTCACTCTCATCACCAAACCTTACAAAACCATAGCCTTTGGACCGGCCAGTGTTGGAATCGATCACAACTTTGGCGCTTTTGACAGATGGATATCTCTCAACAAACAACTCTTGCAACATAGTGTCAGTCACATCCGGAGACAAATCTCCAACGAATATGGAAAGCTCAGGACCATTCTCAACAGCTCTCTTCTCACCGGTACTGAAAGATGCCCAGTTTAGACGGAAGGGCTGCTCAGAGTTCGGCATTATTGAGCCACTGAAGGTCTGAAGAACCTCTTCAGCTGCAGCGCGTGAATGAAACTCAACGAAACCGTACCCTTCTGACTGACATGTTAGCTTGTTACGTATCAATTTCAAAGAAGAAACCTGTACATCATTAAAACAAAATAAATGAAAATCTTACCCAGTTAGAGTCTCTTTAATTGCTTTTATTTTTCAAGAAAAGTTTTTTTTTTTATCTAAACGTGGTAATGTACTTTCTGCACTAACGAAAATCTGAATTTGTGTTCTGTCCTTTTCAGTACAATGCTGTCGTCTTCCATTACCCTATTTGTCTCTAGGGCAAATTCAATAATCAATTCAATCTAAATCCAATTTAACCAGTTTTACAAAATAAAGACATTAACTCTCCATAAATTCCTTAGATTTGAGACAAATGTATCAAATTCAAGAAGTCGTTAGGGTCGATTTTTGATCTATTTTCGCAAAAAAATCAATCTACAAAAAAAAACGTGCTGACTAGGTAGGCCGGTTTTTATAACAATGAAGCAAACACACAAGAAACACAAAGTACATGTCCAAAATCACTTTTAACCAAAAAAAAAAAACAATCATTATTCATTAAACAGGTACAGAAAAACTCATTACCTGGCCGGTGTGAGAAAAGCAGGTATGGAGATAACCCTCGTCCATCCAATGAAGAAGGTCACCAACCCAAAGAGTCTTGACGTCATCACCACCAGATCCACGCTCATGTGGTGGCTTGTGTTGCTGATGATACGGTGCGTATTGGAAGTGAGGATAAGGACCTTGATTGTAAGGAACGTATTGGTGAGGATACATCATCATTTGTTGATGTTGCATCATCATCATGTTCATGGCCGCCGCGCCTGGATACTGGATCCAATGTTGTTGTTGTTGTTGTTGCCACTGCTGAGGTGGCGGAGGAGTTGGTTGTTGAACGGGAGGTGTGGTTGCTGACGTTGAATCTGAGCCGTTGGTTGTCTGCATCTTAAAAGAATTGGTTGTGTCTATTAAAAAAAATTGATAAGATCCGATCTGATATCTCCGGAAAGAGAGACAGAGTCTCTTGAGAGTTAGATTTAAGTATTTGAAGGAGAGAGAGAACTCGTTGAGCTCTGGTAATGGCGGAGAGAGGAAAGAGAGAGATAGAGAGAGAGGTTTGGTCTTTAAAAAGGGAGGCGGGGGAAGAGAGAGAGAGATTGTGGATTTGGGGGTTTAAAGGCCGAATCTATGGGTCTTTGGGAAGTGGCCAAAACGTGGGGCCCATTTTCTTACCGAAGCGAAGCCGTGTGTGTGTGTGTTTTTGGAGATGGACGGCGCTGATTTATTTCACCGCAGTTACGCCACTTGCATTTAATTTTTTTTACCTAGGGTTTTATAAATTAACTGAATTAATTAAACTCACGAGGAATGATTAGGTGAAAACTACATATCTACGGGTTAACCCGTTTTTACTGTAATCAACTGTGTGACCAATAAAAAAAAAAGGAAACCAGCTGTGTTTTAGTATAATTTGCATTTTCATGAATTTTGCTTTTGATAGTAAACTGAGAGCATCCGCAACGGGAGTTCTTAGGGAAAAAATAATTAAATAATTAGTAAACTCCATCAAAAGTTAAAGATTCGATCCTTAAAATCCTTAAATAATGACTGTTTCTTAGCGAATCCTTACACTATTTACGGGTCCCCAGGACACGTGGTAGTCCGCGAATGGTCATCTTTAAAATAAAAAAAATCTGAAATATTCTTACCAAATCCGAAATACTCTTTAAGGACTTCTATGGGTCTCACCATTGCGGATGCTCTGAACAACGATGCATATATTTTAAAGAATTATTATAATGTACATATTGATGCATATGTATAAATAGATGGGAAATTGCACTCTATAACGTGCAAAAATATTATAATTCACTAAGTGACACTTTAACCTAATATAGCAGTATACAACGTGTATCTTGTATAATAATGCATTTATACCCTTCATACTATTGGCTGCACCGTTTAAAATAAAAATAAAATTAAATAGATTTTTTCTCTTTTCACTTCATGGATCCTTCATTTTTACACAGATTATAAAATATTTTTTTCAGAAGATAAAGTTCATTGGATCTTATAGATCTGTGGGAAAATCGTCGACAACCACTCTGATCATGGCAAAAATATTTCGTCGAAATTGTGGATTTGGGGGTTTGGGGGGGGGGAGAGAGAGAGAGAGAGAGATTGTGGGTTTGGGGGTTTAAAGGCCGAATCTATGGGTCTTTGGGAAGTGGCGGAAACGTGGGGCCCATTTTCTTACCGAAGCGAAGCCGTGTGTGTGTGCTTTTGGAGATGGATTTATTTGACCGCAGTTACGCCACTTGCATTTAATTTTTTTACCTAGGGTTTTATAAATTAACTAAATTAATTAAACTCACGATGAATGATTAGGTGAAAACTACATATCTACGGGTTAAACCGTTTTTACTGTAATCAACTGTGTGACCAATAAAAAAAAAGGAAATTAGCTGTGTTTTAGTATAATTTTCATTTTCATGAATTTTGCTTTTGACAGTAAATTGAGAGCATCCGCAACGGGAGTTCTTAGGGAAAAAATAATTAAATAATCAGCAAACTACACAAAAAGTTAAAGATTTGATCCTTAAAATCCCTAAATAATGATTGTTTCTTAGCGAATCCTTGCACTATTTACGGGTACCCAGGACACGTGGCAGTCCGCGAATGGTTATCTTTAAAATAAAAAAAATCCGAAATACTCTTTTTTAAGGACTTCTATGGGTCTCACCATTGCGGATGCTCTGAACAACGATACATATATTTTAAAGAATTATTATAATGTACATATTGATGCATATGTATAAATAGATAGGAAATTGCACTCTATAACGTGCAAAAATATTATAATTCACTAAGTGACACTTTAACCTAATATAGCAGTATACAACGTGTATCTTGTATAATAATGCATTTATACCCTTCATACTATTGGCTGCACTGTCTAAAATAAAAATAAAATTAAATAGATTTTTCCTCTTTTCACTTCATGGATCCTTCATTTTTACACAGATGATAAAATATCTTTTTTGAAGATAAAGTTCATTGGATCTTATAGATCTGTGGGAAAATCGTCGACAACCACTCTGATCATGGCAAAAATATTTCGTCGAAATTGTGGATTTGGGGGTTTGGGGGGGGGGGAGAGAGAGAGATTGTGGGTTTGGGGGTTTAAAGGCCGAATCTATTTGTCTTTGGGAAGTGGCGGAAACGTGGGGCCCATTTTCTTACCGAAGCGAAGCCGTGTGTGTGTGTGTGTTTGGAGATGACGGTGCTGATTTATTTCACCGCAGTTACGCCACTTGCATTTAATTTTTTTACCTAGGGTTTTATAAAGGGAAATTGCCATTTAAATTACTAAATTACGAACTTTCAAATTTGATTGAAAAAAGCATGAATTTTCTCTTGGACCATGCATCAACTTAGTTTGAATAGCCATTTTAAACTTCAATTTAGTTTGACTAAACCAAATCAAACACGACGTTAACTCGGGTAACGGATCGATTAGACGTAGTTAATCGCCGTTTCTAATTTCCGTTAAGTCTAAACAACATCGTTTTAAAATTTTGAAAAATATTGTATTTGAAGGTAATCGAACCCGTGACCCAAAGAAAAACTAATTCCAAAACAGAACCACTAGACCAGTTGCACTTATCTTAATTTAAATGAATACTAATAGATATTATTATGAACTATCCAAATCATTTTCTCCCACCCTAAATCCCTAAATATTAAAACTTATAAATAACTTCATAGTTAAAAAATCGTAAATATTAGTAAAAATATTAAAACTTATAATAATTATTAAGTTATTTATAAGAAGTATTAAAAATATTAAATAATTTTTTTTAATCATTAAGTATTATTGAATATTCAAATTTTTCTTCTTATACTTAATAATTAATTATTCAATAATACTTAATAATTAATTATTCAAAAATACTTAATTATTAATTATTCAAAAATACTTAATAATTAATCATTATTCAGTAATACTTAATAATAATTATTCAATAATACTTAATAATTAATCATTAAGTATTATTGAATATTCAAATTTTTGTTCTTATACTTAATAATTAATTATTAAAAAATACTTAATAATTAATTATCCAAAAATAATTATTTATTGAGTATTATTGAATAATTAATTAGTAAGTATAAGAACGAAAATTTGAATATTCAATAATACTTAATGATTAAAAAATTGTTATTTAATATTTTTAATACTTCTTATAAATAACTTAATAATTATTATAAGTTTTAATATATATACTAATATTTACGATTTTTTTTAATTATTAAGTTTTAATATTTAGGGTTTTAGGGTGAGAGAAAATGATTTGGATGGTTCATAATAATATCTATTAGTATTCATTTAAATTAAGAAAAGTGCAGGTGGTCTAGTGGTTTTGTGTTGGAATGAGTTTTCCTTTGGGTCATGGATTTGATTCCCTTCGGATACAATATTTTTAAAATTTTTAAAATGGCGTCGTTTAGACTTAACGGAAATTAGAGACGGCGATTAACTCCGTCTAATCGATCTGTTACCCGAGGTAATGTCGTGTTTGATTTGGTTTAGTCAAACTAAATTGAGGTTTAAAATGGTTATTCAAACTAAGTTGGTGCTTTAAATGGCCCAAGAGAAAGTTCATGTTTTTTTTCAACCAAATTTGAAAATTCGTGATTTAAATGATAACTTTCTCTCATTTTATAAATTAACTGAATTAATTAAACTCACGATGAATGATTAGGTGAAAACTACATATCTACGGGTTAACCCGTTTTTACTGTAATCAACTGTGTGACCGATAAAATAAAATAAAAAGGAAATCAGCTGTGTTTTAGTATAATTTGCATTTTCATGAATTTTGCTTTTTACAGTAAGCTGAACAACGATGCATATATTTTAAAGAACTACTAGATTTTGAACCCGCACATCCGTGCGGGTATTTTTTCATTTTATAAAAATATAACAAAACATTTAAAATATATAGAATTTATATTTTATTGTTATATATTGAATAATTGTATAATCTTATAATTTTAATTATTTTTATATAATATATTGTTGTAAGTTTTAAAATAAAAAAATATTCATAAATAATTTTTTATATAATGTATTTGTTGTGAGTTACAAAAATATATGTTAACATTTTTATATAAAAATATATATAATTTAAAAACTTCAATATGTTTTAAAAGGGAGTGATATTTATTTATTTATTTAAAATAAAATATTTTTCTTTACCAATTTAATATATTTTATATTCATTTCAAATAGAATTTTATTTTAATATAATACAGAATATAACTAAATTATAAAATATAACAATTTTTATTTTTAATTAACATTAATATAAATATTTATATATATTAATCATGAAATTAAATAATA